TATTACCTTTTATGAGAGTATAGCATATTGGGTATTGTTAGTTCGAATATGGTTATTGGAAGGACTTTTCTTTCGTATTAAAATGCATTAATAAGAGATTCGGAGGTCGATCTTACCACAAGACGACAGCTGATTCCTGTTGTACTGCAGCCATTTGATTTTAATAAGACGTTCAGTTTTGCGCAGTCCACGAGTCCTCTGCCCTCGTTTAAGATAAAAATGGGCTGACCTTTCGACCATCATTCGAGGTAAATCATCACAGCTGGAACTCATTATTTTAAAAGTCTCAAGTAAATACCAAACAGGAGATCTCGTGGACTGCGTCAACCTGAACATCGTATCAAAGTTAAACGGCTCCAGTACAACAGTATCGACATTTATACGAAATGAAAGTCACCCAAAGAAGATTAGCTCAGGAGGATCCTAGATACCCAGTTACTTTTGGTATTGTTAGTAATTGTTATTAGTAAGTAGTATTAAGTAGTAGTTAGTAGTATTGTTGGTAAGGCTTTTTGTCAGCTCAGCTTAAAGGGAACTAGACCCTGATTATTGGTGTCTAGGGCCAACATTTTTTGTATATACTTTTAAAATGTCTCATTCGTCAACTTCTTTCTCTTACAATACCCAATCGCCGTCCTGGGTCTCTATCAGACTGGCTCTGAACGCTGGGGTCTGGACAGCTGTCAACATGCCGTCAAGAAGCCGGCCAACTGGCTCAATTTCGTCAAACTGCGGCCGCGCCGACACGCCGATCTAATACGCTACATGATTGATTTGCGCACAACCACTCCAGCCGATGAGCTGCTCAAGTCGGCCTCCAAATTTGTCGCTCTCAAATATCCCGAGGTAGGTGATCATTCTACAGATCGGTTTCAGTGATTTCTGCTACTTCCTCTCATCAAGCACATCACTTTGATAGGAGTGGCTTTCGAAAACTATCAATAATTCTTAAATAAGTACTTAGCCTACCACCTAATCACATTGCAATCGACTAAGTTATCCATTTTTGATATATGTAGTTCAGGGGTCTGTCCGTAATTCTTGAATAAAGACATAGCCATTTGAGATCGTTTAAGGTGATGTAAAGACTAATAGCTGATATTTCTCAAATCTCAGATCAGTGGACCTCAGGATGCCATTACATTTCACTTAGTTTTGCAGACTCATGTGATGATGAGAAAAACTCCAGTATCTCACCCCATGAAAATTAACATGATTAATCGAAGGTATGAAGACCAAGATGTTGTGGCATTTTGTGTGATCGCAATATCCTTTTGCTGAATAGAGGTTGTTTGACCTTGTTTTCGCAACATGGTCATATTGTTAGGAAGACTTAGAGGAACGCACATAGTCTGGAGTCCATTGTATCCATCATCATTTCCAGTGTAGGACCGTGAACGTGATACATTCCCAGGCTACATCAAA